TGTGTCTCCTCAGCGTCCCGGGCCCCTCCTGGCTGCTGCCTCCTCCTGCTGTCACAGCCAAGACCTGGACCTGCTCCACCTCCTCACAGTCACCCCCAGGCAGCAGCACCGCCTCTGGCCATTCTCCCTCAGGCCTCCTCCCCACGGTGCCTGCCCCTCTCTCCTGCCCCATCGCTCTGGTGGTCTGAGGGCAGAGGCCACCGTCACCTCAGCGCGGACGAGGAATAGTAACATGAGCTGACGTGTCCCGGTCGGCCTGTGCCAGGCTGTGGGAGAACTTTCCATCCCCTCACCTGACCCTGCTCCCCAGGGGAGAGGGTGTCCTGCCCACGCTGCTTGATCGGACCCCTGTGGAAACGCTGAAATAGCACCGGGGTCACAGAGCAGGAGAGAAAACCAAACTGCAGCCAAATGTTGCTGGTTGATCAGTGAATAAAAAGAAACTAATGAACATAAATACTCATTGAAAACCTCCCTAAGACCTTGATATATTGACTCTAAAAGCTTTTATCTCATTAGCTCCTAAGAAAACCTTCAGGACACCCCTGAGATGCAGCTGTTCTGTTCCAGCTTGACAGGTGGGGAAACCGAGGCTCAGGAGGCTGAGTCTTGCCCGGGTCGGACAGCCGGGTGGTCAGCACCGGCGAGACTGGCCTGCTTCTGGTTCTTGCCCGTGTTGCCCACAGGCTCTGAGGAGACGCCCACTCCTCAAGGCTCCTCCATTTCACACCCCCACAAGTGAGATACCCAAGGGGGAAGTGGGAGAGGTCAGGGGTCACTCACGCATCACAGTCAGGGTGAGGGGGTCACTTCTGGAACTGGCTGGGTTGGAGACCTCACACTGATACTCCCCGGCGTCCTCCCCCCCGACAGGGTGGATGGTGAGGGTGCGGTTGTCCCGGGACAGCGTCACCCTGTCTGTGTACTGCAGACGCTGGGTATTGAAGAGCCACAGGATGGAGACCCCAGTGACTCTTGTGAGGCAGGTCAGGACCACACGGTCCTTGTGTTCAGTGACTGTGGTGCTGCTGGCTCTGATGGAGGCCAGGCCAAGGGGTTTGAGGAGACACCGCGGAGGCAGCTGAGTGAGAGGGGCCTGGGGCTCCCTCCTAGATCTCAGCCCTTAATGGCCCAGGAGACTGAACATTTCCAGAGCACAGACCTGGCCTCTGCAGAATCCAGTGTCTGTGTTCAGGTGATGACAGGTAAGGAGAAGACGGCACCTGCCCTCTGAGCCCAGCTGACCCCAGGGTGATCTCATTTGTGCTCCTGGGCACCTCTCCAGTATTGACAGGAACCCCTCCTGAGCTCAGATTCTTCACACCGAGGAACCTGTTCCCCTGAACTCTGTCACATCCTCGGCCTTTGTGACCGTGTGGTCAGGACCCCCCTCTCATAAACTGCGCTGGAAAACGGATCCTGCCTTGTCCTTCCTGGGCCCAGGGCAGCCTTTGTGTTCGTCAAATACTGATCAGGAGGAGGACGCCCTCCCAGTCTTCACAGCCAACCTGAGGAGCTCCCCGTGCAAGGGCTTCTCCCTAGCCGGGACTCTTGCCTCCTCATTTGCTTAGGAGCAATCTGGAGAAGGGGACACGGACCCACAAAGCTGCACTCTGAGAACAGAAGGAAACTACTGCAGTATGTCGCCCTATTACTGGTTGAAGGTGTAGATCAGAGAAAAGAAATTCTTCCCCATTTTAAGCCAGCACACCAGGAAGGACCATTGTTTCTCATCCAGTGCAGGGAATATGGATGGGCCCGAAGGGGAGGCCTGGCCCCGGCACTGACTCTCCTGGAGGATGCGGGTCATTTAGTTCTAGTGTCCACAGGGGTCAGTCCCATTTGCTCTCACTCCCCAGACCAGAATCGCTGTGTCTGAGCTGGGGAGGCCCAGAAAGGAAGGGTCTGAACCAGCAGCTGGTTTTAGGGGCCACAGGTGCATACCAAAGAGGAGAGAGTTGGGCTGTGACTGCAGACAGGTCCTGGGGTCACTCTGATGTGGGGTCCTGGTCTGAGCGACCCTTATTCAGTTCTCCTGTGACTGTTTCTTCTCAGTAAAGTAGGTTAAAGAGCAGATAGTCTCCGGCTTGCTATGTCTGCGAAGGAGCCTTCAGCTCTCACAGCCTCAACTCTGAGCCCATACAGTGCATCGGTATTACTCAGCCCGCGGCCTGCTTGTACAGCTTCCAGAAAAATCTCTGTCTCTCATCCCTTGGTGACCTGCCTTCCAATGGGGTCCCCTTGTGCTCAGGTATGTCATGTAATGACCAGGGACCTGTGATCTCCACCCCAGTGGTCTCAGGGGAAGCACCAGGCTCTCCCCTGCCCAGAAAAAGGCTCTTGGGCCTGGGCCCGGCAGGTGACCCGCTCAGGAGCTTCCGGACTCAGGTTTCGGGAAGTTCCTGCAGCCCCGTCTACGAGGACACATCCCCCTGATAGGGACTCCTCAGTCAGGGTCATGGGGTTGGGAGCCCTGGGACGGGGCTGGTCCGGGGCTTCCTGGGGTGGAGCTTCGCTGCGAGGATCCAGGCTCCCAGGTCAGGCCCCGACGACGTCTCTCAGGGTGTCTTTTGGGGCCACGGGAAGGGCCCGGGGCGGAGGTGCCCCCCTCCGCTCTCGCCTCCCTCAGACTGGCCCCCTCCCGCAGGCCGCGGGGCAGGCTGGGCTCAGGGGGTCGTCGGTCTGAGCGCCCGCTCCGCTCCGCGACTCCCGGATAAAGGCTCGACCCCAACATGACACGCAGTTGGGGTGATGAGGCACAGCCGGGCTGTGAGTCCCGTGTGTGAAGCAGGGCTCACCCCCAAACCCAGAGGCCCGGGAGGAGCTACTCACGGTAAACGCGGAGCTGTCCAGTTACTTCTCTCTCTTCAAAATCTCGATACGTGATTTGTAGGGTGTAGGGCCCCGTGTCCTCCTGGGTGACGTTCCGGACCAGCAGGGATCCATTGGGATTTATCGTCTCTCGGCCGCTGTGTGCAGGCCCTGTGCCATCTGCTGGAGACCCTACTTTATATGACATAATAAGCATTTCACCCTCCACCATTCCTCCTTTGTACCACTTGAAGATTCCAACCTCCTTTAGCAGACCGCGGACATGCAGAGTCACGTTCCCCCCCTCGATGGCATTGACGGGCTCTGGTTCAATAGTGAGCTGGGCAGCGCCGGGC